AATAATTCTTAAAAAAAAAAAAAAACTTAACAGTCATTACTGACCAAAGCACTCAGTAGTTTAGAAAACCAAGATATAAACAGAACTTAACCAATGTCAGACACTAGCATTCAGAACACTAATCTGATACAGTATCAGGGTACTGAAACAGAAGAGGACTTTTACACTGGGAACTGAAGGGAGATTCTGACATTTTTGCCACAGGCACATATATTACAGAATCTTGTCTATTTTATGATCTCTTACTGGTGGTATGACATACAGCAAATTATTTAACCCATGAGTCTTAGCTCACCTGTTTAAAAAGACAACAAAAATACTAGTGTCATAGGACAGTTCTAAGATGAGACAATACATAAAAGTACTTACCAAGTACCCAATAAAAGGTAATTATAATTATTAAAGAAATACAGTATTGGAATAAAAAAAGAAACCAAAAGGAACATGACTTCAACATACTCTGTACAGAAGAGGCTGTTAGAAGAGGGACCAGCAGTTAGTGTAATGGCTATGTCGCTGGACTCCCATGTAGTCAACCACGGTTTGTGTCCCAGACCCGGTGGCTTAAACTCACGCCGGGTGCATGTGCTGTGTGCGTGCCCAAGATCCCAAGAGGAGAATGGAGCAGAAGGGACTGCGTAGTCAACCCCCCCTGGGGGGTGATTTCTCACTTTCTGTCTCTCTGTCTGTCTGGCGAGCACACATGCCCTGTGGCAAAAATCTCTCCAAAAAGAAAAAGAACAGGCTGTTCTAGAAATGTTGATTCAGTTTCATATGACCAATACTGAAGCAATACCAAAAAACTACTACAATTCCAAAAGGCATTGCTCTGGAGAATGGATTCTACAAATTATGTGATTTTAGGAATAATTAAAACAGCAGGGATATCAAGATTAGAAACAAAATAAATAAAAGTAGCCAAAAAAGTTTCTTCATTTACATAAAAGGCTACCACTGTTAAATTTATTGAGTAAGAATATAAAACAGAGAAAAGATGAAATAAAACATAAATGTCATATTATAGGCCAGGGGTCAGAAAATGATAGCCTGTAGGCAAAATCTGGCCTGCCACCTGTTTCTGTATATGGTTACACTGGGGGAGGGGAGCCTACTGTTTTACTTCTTTCAATAGCTGCTTTTGCGAAACAGAGTTTAATAGTTGTGACAGACACGGTATAGCTAACAAACTCTAAAATATATTCTATCTGTCCCTAAGTAAAAAATGTTACCCTTCTCAGCTTAGATGAGTATTTTGTAATTAAAATATATGCAGGGCCAGCAGTGGTTATGTTGTTGGACTCCCCACACAGCAACCATGGTTCGAGTCCCAGACCCAGTGGCTTAAAACTCACACTAGGCACATGTGCATGTGTGCCCAAGATCCTGGGAAGAGAACAGAGAAGGGATTGCAGCATGGCCATCCCTGGGGGGGAGGGGAGGCTGATTTCTCACTTTCCCTCTTACTGTGTGTGCATGTGTCTCTCTCTGGCAAGTGTACGCACCCTAAGGCAAAAAGCTCTTACAAGAAAAGACATATATGCAATATATTATTAAGTATGGTAAGACACAAAACTGTGTTAGAAAGATATTTTATTAGTTGTGTATATGTGTGAGAGGAAACAATTACATATACTTTTAACTTAAGTATTAATGGAGACACTGGGAACCAGCAGTAAGCGTAATGGCTATGTCGCTGGACTCCCACATAGTTGACCGCAGTTCACGTCCCGGACCCGGTGGCTTAAAACTCACACCGGGCGTATGTGCGTGCGTGCCCAAGATCTCGAGAGGAGAATGGAGGAGAAGGGATTGCGGCGTGACTATCCCCCATGGGGAGGGATTTCTCCCTTTCTGTCTCTATGTCGTTCTGTCTGTCTGGTGAGCGCACATACCCTATAGCGAAATAAATAAAGACACTATGGGTAAATTTGATTTTAGTGCTTTTCTGTGTTTTCCCAGAAGTAACGAATGCATATCCTGGAGTTGGATTAATATACAGTTTTTAATAAAAAAAAATAAAAAGGGAATTACATTTCTCTGTGTAGCAGTAGACCAGAGTCCACAAACTTTTGTAGAAGAAGTCAGAGAGTAATTCAGAATTTGTATGTCATACAGTCTGTTACAACTACTCAATTTTGTTACTGTATTATAAAGTCACACATGGACTATACTTAAAAGAATGAGTACAGGAGACAAACAGATGGCATAATAGTTACATTGCTGGACTCCCACGTAGTTGACTTGAGGTTCAAGTCTTGGACCTAGCAACTTAAAACTCATGCCAGGCACATATGCGTGCATGTCCCAAATCCTGAGAGCAGACGGGAGAAGAAGGGATTGTGGCATAGCCATCCCCTCGGGGGATGATTTCTCGCTTTCTATCTCTGTCTCTACGGTGAGCACATGTACCCTACAGCCAAAATCTCTCTCTAAAGAAACAAAAAAAGGAGGAGTATGGAAATACTTCATTGACAATTTATTTGTGGACAAAAATTTGAATTTCATGTAATTTAACACATCTCAAAATATTCTTTTTATCCAATCATTTAAAAAATGGGAAAATTAGGGACCAGAATTTGGCGTAATGGCTATGTCATTGCACTCCCATGTAGTCGACTTCAGTTCGAGTCCTGGACCTGGTGGCTTAAACTCACACTGGGTGTGTTTGCGTGCATGAGGATACCAAGACAATGGAGGAGAAGGGATTGCAGCGTGGCCATCCCCCCTGTGAAATGATTTCTCACTTTCTGTCTCTCTGTCTCTGTCTTTCTGGCGAGCGCACGCGCCCTATAGCAAAAACTTCTCAAATAAATAAATAAATAAAAATAATTAATTAATTAAAATAATAAATAAATAAAAAGGGTAAAACTACTCTCCACAGGCTGTCCAGAAACCAAAACTGAGCTACATTTGTCCCATGGCTTAGGGGATAAAACATAGTATTAGAAAAGTATGAATTTGTCTCATATTAATTTAAATCTGCTCCATTCAGAACATCAGGTCTGGCTTCTTCAATGTTTCTCATTTTCATTTTGTGTGGGTGTGAAGAATCAGCAAAGATATTCATTTATACACACACACACACACACACACACATATATAAAGCTATATATATATATATATTTTTTAATTTACTTCTGTATTTCTTTCATGAGAAATACAGTCAGAGAGGTACCCATGACAGGGTGCCACCACACCACACGACCCCCGCATAGCTTTCTGGCCAGCCAGAATGACGGGGACCCGTAAGCATGTCACTGTGTTCAGATCCAGGATCTGAACCTGGGGCCTCTCCATATGGCTCTAGCATTGTTCGGCAGCACCTTACAGCCTGCACTACCGTGGCTGAGCCATTTTATATTTTCTGACCACTGACTCTGCATTAGAAATAATATTATGCATATTTAGTTTAGTTATGCCTAGTATAAAAGACACATGCCTTGCCATTTGAATAGTTTATGAAATAATCCACACTCCAACATATTTAAAAGTGTGAGAAAAGAAATTCACTTTTTTTGTTATGACATTATGGATGACATTATAGAATTAAAAAAGAAAAAAGTTCTGGCAAAACACATGAAGCACTGGTGAGTTAATGCTTTGCTATGATTCCTAGTATGCTGAGCAATTACTTCAAGGTAAAACTAAGGCAAACATTCTTTGTGACTAAGGTGCAAAAGCAGTCACAGGAAATACCTAAAAAAAGGAGTGTGACTATGTCTCAATAAGACCATTTTATAACACTGAAATTTTAATTTCGTGATTTCAATTTCTTTTCTCTCTTCTTTTTTTTTGGGGGGGGGAATGCAAATTTATTGAAACTGCTTTTGGGGCAGGTGGGTGGGTGAATAGCTGGGAGTTTTCTAAAAAGAACTATGGAGAGGAGCCAGCACCCAGACCCTATTTCAGGCCCAGCATTTTTTCCTTCCTTTTTACACACCACATCCTGGTTCTGGTTCTGCCATGTGCTCTTGTAAAGCTTGATGAGGTATGATTCCACATATATTTTTACATATATTCAACCATTTAAACCATCCTAGCCTACAATAATACAAAAATGGGAGTCTGTAGTTTGCCAATCCTAGCACTAAAGAAAAAAGCTAGGATCACTGAATATCAGTTATGAGAATGCACAATTAAATATAAGGGAATATCCCCAATATTTTCTTAACATTTGAAAATAAAACTACTAGAGAAAGACCAGCAAGTGGAGTAATGGTTACATCACTAGAGTAACGGTTACATTGCTGGACTCCCACATAACTCAGGAAGGGTGTGTGTGTATGTGTGCCCCAAATCCCACGAACAAAATGGAGGAGAAGGGACTGTGGCTTGGCCACAGCCCCTGTGGGGTGATTTCTCATCTTCTGTCTTTCTCTGTCTCTCCAGAAAGTACACATTCCCTATAGCAAAAGTCTCTCTTTGAAAAAAAAAAAAAAAAGAAGGAAATAGAAATGAAACAGCTACTTTGTAGCTGTACCCAAGGCTGAATGGTCATCTAGTAGAAAAGATGAGAAGAAAAATCTTAATTGAAATGGTGAGCTCTAGAGATACTTCCAAATACTATATTCACAAATAATCAATACCTATATTTTTATCTTTGCATCAACTATAGCTTAATGTTGGGAGTTACTACATATTAGAAAGAGAGAGAATAAAACAGTGAGTGAGAAAAATGTATTGGATGGAGAGAGTGAAAGGGATGAGGAAGTAGAACTAATATATAACATGTAGTAAGTGTAGTTCATTTGATTAAGACTAGAAAGTCAGTCAGCCAACCCATTTTCAAAGAAAAGCCCTTAACCGACATAAAAAGATTGGCAAATATTCATATATGGATATGTTTTTTAAAAAATTTTTAAATTAAGGTATGTGTTCAGATTATTTTTAATGAGACCCTATTAACTGGCTTTTTAGATGAACTGACCAACTACTCTTCATAATCAGAAGGTTTCCAGTGCATACATTAAAAATTTTCATCACACAATTCTAATTTTTACCTCATACAATGTGTTGTAGGTGGTAACAGTCACAGTGTTTGTATGTAGCATTAGCCTTTCTCCAAGAAGAGTGAAAAGACTATGGGTGTGCATAATTTCAACTTTTCTCCTAGAAAGAAGGGGAAAAAGATCATGAAACACACTGGATTCTATGATAACATGACTTTTGATTAAAAAGCACAATCTATAAACAGATACAAAGTGAAATAAGTAAATATTTTTATGAATCTCCATCTACAAAAATAAACAACTTATAACAGAGCTGAACTTTAAAATTTTAAGACCAGTATTTAAATACTTTTCTAATAAACTATCTGCATAAACTAAAATGTGAAATATACAAATGAAATTACATAAATGTAGAGTTATTATTTTCAATTTTCTAATAACTATATAGAATTTTTTATTGCATTAAAATTATTCATAATCCTCAGTGCCAGGAGGTGGTGTGGTAGGATGATGGACTCCCACATGGCTGACTGTGTGGTTCAAGTCCTTGATGTGGCAGCTTCCTTGCTTGCTTTCTGTTTCTCTTTCTCTCCCCCTCCCTCTCTGATCGAATTTAAATAAATAAATAAATGAATCAAAATGATTCTTTAAAAAAATTAATTTATAACCCTAACATAGGGACCACATAATTTTTAAACTGTATCTGTCCAAATTTAAAGTCAATAAAATAAATGGTCTCTAACAAAACTTAATATCACAAGTCTAAAATTATGATTAAAACTGAATACTCTAAAGGCCAGCAGGTAGCTTGGTAGTTAAGGTGCTATACTGCCACATGGCCAAATGTAGTTGAGTCCCAAATCCAGCAGCTTGAAAATCACAGTAGGTACATGTGTGTATGTGCCCAAAGTCCCAGAAGGAGAATGGAGAGAACGGATTGCAGCATGGCCATCCCTTTTGGAGGGTGATTTCTCACTTTCCCTCTCTCTCTCTCCAGTGAGCATACATTCCCTATGGTCAAAACAAAAACAAAAAAATGAAAACTGAATATTCCAACTTGATGTTGGTCATAAAGTAAAACAGTTCTATGTAAGTAAAAGTTAACTGCTTGTGTTTATGATCTACCAATGGACCGAAAAACAGAATGCCTTTCTACTTAGTATGCTGATTTAACTGTTCCTCTCACACTCATACCTAAGAGAGAAAGCTCTACTCAAGGCTTCATGGAAGACTCAGCCTGAGCTTGAGGAATGACTGTTGCTCCTTTCTTCCTGGGTCAACAGCTCTGTATACACTTCCAACCTCTCTTACAGCTAGTTGTGGCCATTTAACTGAGTTCTAGGAAATGTGATTTTAAAAGTTTGGGGTTATTTTTTGGCCTGGACTATAGAAAATAAACTCTTACACCTCTCCATGCTCTTTCTGTGAAATATACAAATGAAATTACATAAATGTAGAGTTATTATTTTCAATTTTCTAATAACTATATAGAATTTTTTATTGCATTAAAATTATTCATAATCCTCAGTGCCAGGAGGTGGTGTGGTAGGATGATGGACTCCCACATGGCTGACTGTGTGGTTCAAGTCCTTGATGTGGCAGCTTCCTTGCTTGCTTTCTGTTTCTCTTTCTCTCCCCCTCCCTCTCTGATCGAATTTAAATAAATAAATAAATGAATCAAAATGATTCTTTAAAAAAATTAATTTATAACCCTAACATAGGGACCACATAATTTTTAAACTGTATCTGTCCAAATTTAAAGTCAATAAAATAAATGGTCTCTAACAAAACTTAATATCACAAGTCTAAAATTATGATTAAAACTGAATACTCTAAAGGCCAGCAGGTAGCTTGGTAGTTAAGGTGCTATACTGCCACATGGCCAAATGTAGTTGAGTCCCAAATCCAGCAGCTTGAAAATCACAGTAGGTACATGTGTGTATGTGCCCAAAGTCCCAGAAGGAGAATGGAGAGAACGGATTGCAGCATGGCCATCCCTTTTGGAGGGTGATTTCTCACTTTCCCTCTCTCTCTCTCCAGTGAGCATACATTCCCTATGGTCAAAACAAAAACAAAAAAATGAAAACTGAATATTCCAACTTGATGTTGGTCATAAAGTAAAACAGTTCTATGTAAGTAAAAGTTAACTGCTTGTGTTTATGATCTACCAATGGACCGAAAAACAGAATGCCTTTCTACTTAGTATGCTGATTTAACTGTTCCTCTCACACTCATACCTAAGAGAGAAAGCTCTACTCAAGGCTTCATGGAAGACTCAGCCTGAGCTTGAGGAATGACTGTTGCTCCTTTCTTCCTGGGTCAACAGCTCTGTATACACTTCCAACCTCTCTTACAGCTAGTTGTGGCCATTTAACTGAGTTCTAGGAAATGTGATTTTAAAAGTTTGGGGTTATTTTTTGGCCTGGACTATAGAAAAAACACTCTTACACCTCTCCATGCTCTTTCTCTAAGGGGGACAATAGGGAAGCCATATGAGAATGACAAGTTTACCACAAAATTAAAGAAACTTCCTGGTCCCTAAATAAATGCCTTCGAGAGAAATCACCAGGTGGGGAAACCACATTTGGATTTTAAGTGAGTAAGAAAGAAACTACTAGTTTGGTAAGTAGCTGTAATTTCATTTTGAATCTATTATAGTAGCTACTGTTACCTTAATTAATACATAAACTGAACGATGAACCAATTTTCTGGGTACCACTCAAGTGGAAGTGTGGAAATCTCTCTTCTAACATCAGCCTGCAAGTAGCATGTTCCACATTTACAGACACAGGACAGCTGGTCTCCTCACCCCATCCTCCTCAGATCGGGAGGGAAACAGAAAAATTATCTAAACCTGAGAGAACACTAGAGCATGTGTCCTGTGGCTGTGTTTGCAAAACACTCAAGACTGAAAAGGCTAAACTGGAGCTGGTTCCATTGTACAGTGGTTAGGTTTTGTGCTATGGGAGTCAGATCCCACACGGCCCACTGCAGTTCAAACCATAGTACCAGCAACTGAAAAACACATGTTTGTGCATGCGCTTGCATACACACATACCCCAAATCCTGAATGATAGAAAATGGAGAGAAAGGACTGTGGAATGACCATTGAGGAGAGAGTGCTCTCTCTCTCTCTCTCTCTCTCTCTCTCTCTCTCTCTCTGTGTGTGTGTGTGTGTGTGTGTGTGTGTGTGTCCCCTTCTCTGTGTGGGTGTACATGCCCTCAAGAATTAAAAAAAAAAAGAAAGTGTCCTGTGCATTTAAAAACAAAACCAGGACTAATGCATATTATGAGATTATAGCAGGGAAGGCTTAAGGCTCTTCCAATTCAAGTCAAAAAGAAAACCTGAGCTTTCATATACTCCCAAACAGGAATGAACGAATGCCAAATCACTGCCCTGAACAGAGCTTTTTGCTACAAGGAGCCAGCAAAAGCTATGTCTAACTTAAGCTATTTGGAATTTAAAATCACCACTTCACTGTGACACTACAACTAAAACTATCAAATAAATTAATACTCTTGTCATTATCTCCAGTGTAAATGTTTGTACATACACTTCATGCTAGATATGGAGGAAACCTGAGTACACTGTTCATACATCAGTGGAAAAATGGGTCAGCTCCCTCCAGCATTTTGCTCTGAAATAATACTTACCAATATATTTTGCTGCCCATCATTTAGGAGACAACCAAAACTGCCATTTATCACCTCAGGAAGGGAATGGCTGCACAGGCCCCGTACATCGCATGATTTTGTTTACCACATAAGTTCTAATAAAAGACTTAATTCTATGAATTCTGTTCAGGAAATGTTCCAGTAGGACACTGCTGAAGAAACTAACATTGTAATTCCCTGTATATTCTGGTTATAGTCCCTTATCTTTGGCATAGTTTGCAAATATGTTCTCCCATTCAGAAGGCTGCTGACACATGCTGATTATTGCTTCTTTTGCTGAGAAGACCTTTTACTTGATATAACCCAACTTGTCTATTTTTGGGATCGTTGCCTGTGCTTTGGGGGTCTTATTTAAGAAGTGTTTGCCTGTCTGATGTCTCCCACCTGTTTCCTCTGTGTTATCCAACAGTCGTTTTATACTTTGTGGCTTAGGTTTAGATCTTTGATCCATTTTTGAGTTGGTTTTTGTTAATGGTGAGAAACAGGAGTCCAGTCTCATCTTTCTATAGGTGGATTCCCAGTTTTTCCAGCACCATTTGATAAACAGATTTTCTTTTCCCCACTGAGTTGACTGGGGAAAATATCAGTTGCCTGTGTACTATGGGTTTTATTTCTGGGGTCGCTACTGTTTCATTGGTCCATATGCCTGTATTTGTACCAATACCATGCTATTTTGATTATCACAGCTTTGTAAAATATTTTGGGGTCAGGGAGTTAAGTTATCTCCCCTACTCCACTCTTCTTCCACAGTATCATTTTGGCAGTACAGTGTCTTTCATGATTCCAGACAAATTCTGTGATTATTTTTTCTAAACCTGTGAAGATTACCTCTACTAATTTGATTGGGATTGCCTTGAATTTGTAGATTAATTTGTAAAAGATTCACATTTTGATTATATTAACTCTTCCAATCAAGAAACAAGAATGTCTTTCCACTTTTTTTGTGTCATTTTCTATTTCATTTTTTTAGTTTTTCATAGCTTTCCTTATAGAGGTCTTTGACTCCTTTGGTTATATTCCTAGATATCTTCTTTTATGGCTATTATAAATAGAATTGCTTTCCTCACTTCTGTCTCAGTCTGCTCACTGTTGGTGTATAGAAATGTTATAGATTTTTTAGATATTGATTTTTGTATCCTGTCACTTTACTGTACCCATTTATCACTTTTATGAGTTTTTGTTAGTTTATTTGTTTTATGGATTCCTTTGGGTTTTCCATGTATATAATCATGCTGTTGGCAAATAGAGAGTTTCACTTCTCCTTCCCTATTTGAATGTCGTTTAATGTCTTGTCTGATTGCGTTGTCTAAGACTTCCAGTAGTAAAACTGAAAAGGAGTGGAGAAATAGGGAACTCAAGTGGCTTACCAAATGTTGTCTAAGACTTCCAGTAGTAAAATTGAAAAGGAGTGGAGAAATAGGGAGAAATAGGGAACTCAAGTGGCTTACCAAATGAGCTGAATGGACAACTCTCTGAGGAAGACAT